TTCCCCCACACCACATCTTTGCTCCTGTCACATCTTTTCTGACTCTGACATTTCCTTCAAATTTCCTCCTGCATTTCCTTCAAAATTATGCTGGACCTATCCAGATAAACACAGGACAATTTCTTCATCTAAAAATCTGTAAGTTACACCTGCAAACACTTTGCCATATCAGGTATATAGGTTCCAGGGGATATCTTCAGCGGGGTATTCACTGATCATTACATCATTTCAGTGTGTTAGAAACTAAGATCTAAGATCTCTGGCTAAAACCAAGGAAGTCCCTAACAAACCTGGCCAGCTAGTTACCCAAGAAGGAATGACTCATTCTTTTCCTTAGAAAAGTAGAGGGAAGATGACCATCAATAATAAAAGCTGTTAAGGAAACAATGTTTTCCAATAGCATTGCTTAGGGCAAACACAACATTCAACCTTGAAAAACATCCTAGATGAAACAGAAAATATAACATCTTAGCCCTCTAGTGTCAGCGTGACCACATTCTCGTGAAAAGGAATCTTCTGTGCTTAATACTTTTCCATCTGTGTTTTACCTGATGGAAAGAAAGCCCTCTCCTGGATAAACTCTGTTTCAGAGCTTGAATTAGCCCTAAGTGTGAAGCTGAACAGTAGGCTTGAGCACAAAAAGGCTAATGCGGAATAACAGACTTGTTGTTAAAAATAGAACCTGATTCCAAGCAAATGACGAGGGCTTGACATCTTGATGTGAAGCCAGGTGGGTTTTCTACATCAAGTGTCCTCTTCCTGTCTTTAGTCCCTACCCCTCACCTTCCGTTCTTTCCCCACCCCAGTCCACCCACCCACCCACCAGTTATATTTAGTATTACAGTCTTTGGGTTTCTAAAATAATTATCTCATATGTTTTTGAGTCTCACTGAAGGGAGAACCTTCCGTTTTGTGTCACATGTTTATGTATATATTTAGTTTGTGTCATATTTTTATGTATATATTTAGGTCATGTCTACTTAGCTTTCTACTTCTGAAGAAATCATATTTTAAAACTTTCTCAACAAATGGGTAAATTCCAAAAGGCAGTAGCCAGTGGCTGGATGGGGGTGGGAACCTGGGTAGCCAGTCCAGTGGACAGGGTTTGAATGGGGCCAGACTTCTGGAGTCGTCCTTCCCGGCTGGGGACAGGTGAGAGGTTCACTCTGTGCCTGCCAGAAGTGACAGTTGTGGAAGTCAGGGGCATAAATAATTTCCCAGCTGTGAAGACAAAGGAACTCATATTGTACCTAGCTAGAGGGAGTGGAGCAAATAAAATTGACAGTAATGAGGGAGCAACTTAGCACTCTCTGCCACTCTGTGACAGCCAGCACAGGGGTACAGTTAGTGGCTGTAAAAACCACACTGACTGATGGCAATCGGGAACTGGAGGAAATTCGGGCTTGTGAGGGATTCTGGGAAGCATCTGTTTCTTTCTCTGGTGAATCCAGACAACCCCAGACATGGGCAGTGGGGCTGAGGGAGCTGGAGGGAGGCAGAGAACTGGATTCGGCATCTCCAGGAGAGCTTTCTGCAGGCTGCTAGGTGCCTCGGCCTGCTGTGCGCATGCATCCACCCCTGGGATAACCCCCTGCTGCTCCGACAAGGGCAGAAGAGCACACCAGATCTAGACACCCCAACCTCCCCCTAGGAAATCCAGCTTCCATCCCATGGCTTCTTGAGTCAGAGAAACAAGACCAAGGAGAGGTCTTGTACCCTGAAGAAAAAGCTGTGACTACATATTTTACTGCTTCTAGAGTCAGGGGTAGAGGGTATGAAGGAAGAGAGAGGACACTGTGCTGGGGTATCCCCAGCCTATTCTTCGTTTCCTCTGAGGTCTGAGGACAAGCATTCGCACGTGACCAGCTCTGTGAAGAGCAAAGCCGTTGCTCCTGTGGGAAGTAAACCCATAGCTAGCCCGTACTTACTCAGGGCCTCTGTCCATGCAGTTAGTCATGTCCGAGGGACACCATGACCCGCCTATGGGTCAGACTCTGGGACGATACCTGCCTTTCATACTTACTTCAGCTCTGAGTGGAAATCTTCCTTGAAAACTGTCTTATGCTCTAGGCTGGGTAACTTAACCAGAGAAGGTCTGACAGAATCATCTATTCACTCACCAGCTATCTGTTCCCCAAGACAGCCAGATTGGGAATGGAGGAGGTGGGACTAGTAAATGATGCCCAGAGGTGCTCCCGGTTGTGCAGGGGAGGGTGAGGCACCCTTATTGACAATGGCTGAAAGTAGCATCATTGCTATTTCTTCCTTTTCTAATCACTATTTTTAAACTTATTCTTAACTGACACATGGCTGCACATATTTATGGGGTGCAGTGTGTTAATTTGATACACATAGTGTGATGATCAGGTTATGGTAATTCATGGATCCTTCTCCTTAGGTATATTGCTTCTTAAATGAGGAATGCCAAGAAATGAGGCCTTCAATGGGGCCTAGAGACTTTCATTCCTGACCTGGTTCATCCACTCATCTTGCTTTGTCCCAGAGAATGAGTGTCTTTCTTCTACCTTAAAATGGAGGTTTTTGACTGGATGTGGTGGTGCATGCATGTTATACCAGCACTGGGGAAGCTGAGGCGAGATGATCACCATGAGTTTGAGGCCAGCCTGGGCTGCAGAGTGAGTTCAAGTCTAGCCTGCACCATAGAGCAAAACCTTGTCTCAAAAAAACCAAAAAGAAAAAGAAAAAAAAGTTTTACAATTTTTTAGGGATGGCAAGACTAACAAATATGTTCAAAGATCCTGGGGGGAGGCACACCCCACTATCTGGGCCAGCATGGAAACGCCCGAATCAGCCTGGCAGGGAGATGGGGGAACAGGTGAAGGCCTTCATTGTGGTTTCTGTGGGAAGAGCATGTGAGGCCGGTGTGCAGGCTGAGGTCTGGCTATTTCTGCTGTGCTCTACAGGCTCTGGGGCATGAGGTAAACCTCTAAGTTGTTGGTGCCTTACCTAGGCCCAGGAGTGATGGGGCAGGGGAGTAGAAGCCCTCCGTGGGACAGCCTGGTAGAGGAGGTGGCTAGAGTGTGACTAAGTGGAGGGCTGGTTTGCATTTGAAAGGTGGGCTCTAGGGCCTTGTAGACTACTGTATCTCTGGCTCAAATGGGAGGAGCAGTCCCTCCGGGGCCCCAAGGTCCTGAGGTCAAAACATCAGATGCAGAAGATCAAAGGACACAGTTAATACATCTTCCTCTTCTCTCAAGCTCACATAGTGTAGGCCGCCTCACCCCACAGGATACTCCCTGCTATGAAGTCCCAGAGCACTGAATGACCCTGCCATTCATTGTGCTGTCTATTTGGGCTTTGTCCACACATCAAAACCTAAGTTCCTTGCAGATAGGGACTGTGTCTCGCTTATGTAGGTCCCTTATAGCAAGGGCACACACGCTTGAACATAATAAACACTCATTACATTCTGTCAGGGAAGGCTCAGGGTTCAGTTTGGTAGGCCTTAATCCCGAAGCAGAAATAACTCTGCCTAGAGGGACTTGCCACTTGATTTCTTCCTCATTATCCAGTGCTTGATCTTTCCACAATTTAGAATGTTTACAAACCCACAAACAAGGAAAACAGACAGCTCCAGCTGTGACTACAACTGAGAAGGGGTCATTTCTAATTGCAACTGAAAAGGAAAAATTGAGTTAGTGTGGATGCCCTGACCACAGTGTTTTCTCCATTAACTCCCTGGAAGGGGGATTACACATGTCAACCTGGTTCACTGAATAGTCAGGAGGCAGATGTCTGCCTGATGACTGTTTATCAATGAGTGACTCATCTGTGCTGAGTCCGTTCTAGCTGGTCAGCCCAGCCCTGGCTTATCAGGAAGAGAGACTGACCTGGGTTCAAGTGGCCTAGAATGAGCTGTGGGATGCGGTGGATACTCTGGGTACTCAGGGTGGGACCTGGCAGTGCTGCTGAGGACCTTGGGCTCCTCCTCCAGGAGAATAGGAGTCAAGAATGTAGATCAAATGAAGAGTGGGTCAGATCTGAGTGTAAAATGTCAGAGCAATTTGGCTCCTTCCCCGGGGCAGAACCAATGAACAAAAATAGACTACACTTTGGGAGGCCTGGCATGGAATTAAATTCCAGGGCCCTAGCTGTAGCTTTGCCAAATGGGCTGGCTTCCTGCCTGTGTCCAGAAATGCCCTTGTCATGCAAGGCGGAGGTGGTGGGGTAGAGGAAGAAGGAGAGCTTTTTCTGTGGGTACCATAACACTGCAGGGGGCTGTCCCAGATGTCGTCAGTCTTCACTGTTCAAAATGTAGTCTGCAGCCAAGCAGCAACGGTCTCTTTTGGGAGCTGGCTAGAAATTCTAGGCTTCAAGCAAGGCTGAAACTAAGGTGCAAAATTTAAGGAGACACCTGAACAATAATTGAGGAAAAAACGCATTTTAAAATACCAAAATGAACTCCAAACATTCATGATGAATATAATAGCAACATTTTAAATAAGGGCTGGATCTGACGTTGCACTTGAATAATCCCACCCCAATCACTGTAGTTTAATCTTGGCTCTGACCTCTTGCCCCCTCGCCCAGAAGAACCAGGATAAGCATTCTAACAAGATCCAACAACTCACATTCACATCAAAATTTGAGAGGCACAGCTTGAGATAATGCCATATCATGGGTAACAACCCCAAATCTTGGAATCCAGACAGCAGCAAAAATGGAGGAGGAAGGCAGAGAAGCACCAAACTAAAACCAGCTTGCTTACCATTTGCCTGGCTTTGCACAAAATCACCTTAAAATTATAGCATTTCATAGCTTGCCATAAGCTTTAAAAAAAAACATTATATTTTGAAATAATTATCAATGCATAGAGAGTTGCAAGGATGACTGAGAGAGATCCCATATACCCTTCACCCAGTCTCCATCAGAACTATCTTAGTCTCTTTGGGATGCTGAACAAAATACCTTTGACTGGGTAATTTATAAATAACATAAATCCATTGCTCACAGTTCTGGAAGCTGAAAAGTCCAAAGTCAAGGTACCGACAGATCCCGTGTGTGACAAGTCTGTTCCTTGGACTGCCATGTGTCCTCTCAGAGTGGAAGAATTGGCACTTTCTAGGTGTCCTTTCAGAGTGGAAGGGCTACAGAGGGGAAAATAAACTCCCTTGAGTCTCTTTCATGAGGGAATCCACAATCATGAGGGCCCTGCCCTAGTGACCAGTCACCTCTCCAAGGCCTCCTTGCTCCTTACAATCATGCTGGAGGTCATATGTCAATGTAAGAATTTTGGAGGAACACAAACATTCATACTGTAGCAGTTACATTTTTTATAACAACAGTACAATATCAAAATAAAGGAAGTCAACATTGGCATATGATGGATGTATATACTGGCATAAGGTATGCGTCATTTTATATAACATGTGCAGATTTATATAACCAACACATTGAACAGAACTGGTTCACCACCACGAAGATCTAAAGTTACAGCTTTTAAAACTTGGAAACAGCCCATTTGCCCATCCGTTGGAAACTGGATAAAGAAGATGTGGTTTTTCTTTAAAATGGAATATTACTCAGCCATAAAGAATGAGAAAATAGATTCATTCATAGGAAAATGGATACATATTGAAGATATACTCCTAAGTGAAATAAATAAGTCACACGTGTAAATACTGAATAGTTTCTCTGGTGTGAATAATCTGCAACAATGCATAAGATTCTAATAAGATTACTGACATTTAGAAATGGGAAGAAAGGAGCTAAAGGTGTAGGGAAGGTGGGATGGGTAGGGGAAGAGTAAAAAGGGAAAAGAAAAAAATGTGAGAGAATGAAAAGATGAAAATAAAGTGTTTGTAGATGGGGAGGGGAGGAGGGGGTGAAGGGAGGGCAGAGGTAAGGGAAAAAATGAGAATCAAGACTTGTCATGTAGAGGTACAAGATCCCAACAATGAATGTAACTGTACTGTATCCCTAAAATGTACCAATAAACTCAATTAAAGCTGAAAAAAAAATAAAGTTACAGCTTTGGTCATATTTGCCCCTTCCTTCCCCGCCCCGCCATCCTAACCTCTTTCACTGACTAATTTTTCTGAGCACACAATCTTTGGAGATTGCCCTTTTGTCCATGTCTCTTGGACTGGGTGTATAGTGAAGTAGTAGGACAGAAAATCCAAAGTAGGTGGGTGAAGGACAGAGCAGACATGCTGGATGCTGGGCCAAGCTGGGCTTCCAACGAAATGCTTGAGTAAGTGAAGAAAAGAGAGAAGGCATTTTGGGGAGGGAAAGGAGGGTGAGGAAGTGTTGGCTTATTGTTGTGCTGTGTCTGTGACATCCCAAGGTCACAGGTGTCCACGACCCTAAAGAAGACTGAGCTGGGAAGGAGAAAGAGAAGGGAGGATGGGCTGTGAGATTGATCTGGCTGTCAAAAGAGGTTTGTTACAAGGCCTTTAATTTACCCTCAAAATAAGACTCGGAAATGGGTGAGTAAGACCGCTCTTTTAAAGAGCAACTATGACACACATTAGAAGAGCTGAAGCCCCAAGACATAACACCAAGTGCTGGCCAGAATTCTGAGGGAAAGAACTCCCATTCCCTGCCAGTGGGAATGTGAAATGGCACACCCCAGAAGACCCAGCCTCAAATTCTTACAAAACTAAACATACTCTTACCTTAGGGACCCAACCACACTCCTAGATTGAAAACTCAAACTCTGTGCTAAGTCAGCTTTATCTGTAATCACCAAAGTGACTAAGGTATTCTTCAGTGGATGGATGGGTGGGATGGATGGATGGATAAACAAATGGAGGTGCATCTAGACAGTGGGGTATTACTTAGTGATAAAAAGAAATGGGCTGTTAGAAAAAATATGAAAAAAGGACAAAAATGGAAACAAAGGTTTTGTAAATAGGGACATTTCAAGGGGGTGAACGGAGGACAGGGGAATGGGGAAAAAATAAGAAGCAAGATACATCATGTGAAGGTACAAGATCCCAATGCTGTTTACCTTAAATGAACCAATAAATTTAATGGGGAAAAAATAAAATAACAACAGCAACCACAACAAAGAAATGGACTATTGGGCCAGGAAGACGCATGGAGGAACTTTAAAAACTTTAAATGCTTAATGAATGAAGCCAGTCTGAGGACTGTTTTATTCTAATTATATAGCATTTTGGAAAAGGCAAATCTCTAGAAATAGTAAAAAGATGTGTGGTTGCTAGAGGTACCATGAGAAGGCAGGATGAACAGAGCACAGAGAATTTTAGGGCACTGAAATACTCTGTGGTTCTGTAATGGTCATTGCATATTTGTCAAAACCCATGGAACTCTGTAGCACAAAGTCTTTCTCTCTCTCTCTCTCTCTCTCCCTCTCTCACTCTCGCTTTCTTTTGTGGTACTGGGGATCAAACTCAGGGTGTCACACATACTAGACAAGTGCTGTATCACTGCTGCTTCACCAGTCCCAGAGGGAATCTTAATGTAAACCATGAAGTGTAGTTAATGATAACATGTTAGTATCGATTAATCAAGTGTGACGAATGTGTTTGCTAACCAGTGCCCCATGATTAATAGGACAGGGAACCTGTGGGGTGGGGGTGGGAGGAGAGGGACTGAGTATATGAAATTCAATGTACAATCTGCTCAATTATTCTGTAAATCTAAAACTATGTGAAAATAGTCTAGTAATTTCTTTAAACCAAAGAGATTTCAAATTAAAAGAACAAAAAGCTAAAGTGATGAGAACTATTTTTAAATATTAAGAGTAAGCAAGGTAATCCTGGAAACTTGCTTGTAACACTCAGAGCCAGCCTTGCTTTTCAGGTTCTCCTTCACTTATAGGCCCCGTCAGTGTAAAACCCATGCCTGCAGCTGGGTATGGTGGCACATGCCTGTAATCCTAGCACTTGGGAGGCTGAGGCAGGAGGTTCCAGAGTTGGAATTCATACAATGTGTGCCTTTTGGAAGTATGACTTTTCGGCCCCTTGCTAGGATGAAGCTTTATCCTAAAAGCTAGAATGAGTTTTATCCTAAAATTAAATTGGGCTTTTCTTATACATCTGGATTAGCAACATCACTTTCCTTCCAAAGGAGAAAGGACCTTTTCTTTCTGGCCAAACTTTTTCTCCAGGAATCGTGATGATGGTAGACTTGTACGACTGATTGTTAATTCTCCACAGTTATATATGAGACCCTTTAAATTTGTTTTGGGGGTTTATGTTTCCTGAGTAACTAGATGAAGCAATCAGCACATCTTTCATATTATAAGGAATCTTTCTTTTTTAAAAAAACTACTTCTCTTAGCATTTCTGGAAGTGACAATAAGGGTAAAATCCAATCAGTTGCTCTAATGGCTCTTAATGAGGTGCTTGTCTTAAACCCCTCCAAGCTACACAGGGCTTCTCAACAGAGAACCTCTAAGACCGCATTAGTCCCCTTGAGTTCCAAATCTGTTTACTTTAAGGGTTAAATGAGCTTCCATAACCCTTTGAACAAATAACATTTGCTTTCAAGGCTGATACTCTCTATTTAAATGGGCAAAAAGTAAACCTTAGTGTTACAGAGCCGAACATATTGATTTCAGTTATCTCCCTTAAATTTGTACCTTTCCTCTTAGTCACATGTGTTCTTCTCTTAATTAGAAAGAGCCAGGGATTATCTGCACAAGACTGGAAGGTTCATTGTGATCGGCGGGATTGTCTCCCCTGTGCACGACTCCTACGGGAAACAGGTAGGTTGCTTCCGGTGCCCTGTCTTCCTTCACCCTCCTTCCCTCAACTAACAGTGCCCTTGTAGAAAGTGGGCCCCTTGCTGTCCCTCTAAGATTCCTGGAAATGCAAAATGTACCCTAGCAGGCAGGTGCCTCTGTCTCTGGCCAAACATGAGTGACTGGGTGTTTGGGCAGCAGCTGGGAGGCACAGCTGCCCAGGACAGGCAGCCACTAGCAGCTCCACGCCCGGTCCATACTCACTGCGAGCGGAGCGGGCATGCCGGCTTGGGGAGGCTCAGCCTAGATACCAAACAATGGCTGGTGATGGGTTGAGCTGCATTGGGCAAGACTTCCCTGGGATTTTAGGAGGAAACATCCTGTGCTTCTTGTTATCAGATTTAAATTCATCTCCCTACCCCTCCGTACCACATGGAGCAGAAAATTTAGGAGCTGTCCCGGTCATTCCCCCTTTGTTCCACAGACATAGCTGGACTCTGGGGAAGGGCCCCGAACCAGGCAGACTGAGCCGCCGCAGGCAGCATTTATTAAGTCTCGTGTCTCTGCAGAACACACCTCACCCGCCCCAAGCGTGGAGGCTCACCTCTGACCCTGTTGGGGCAGACTATGCCACAGATCCTTCTTCTTTTTCTTTCCCCTCTGCCACTTCATGCCTGTCTGTGTGGCAGACGGAAAAGTAATGAGACCACATCTCACTTAACACCGAAAACTGGCTGCACCGGGTAATGATCTGTTTGAGCTGATGGCCTAGGACGGTGGGAGTTGGGGACAGGCTCTCTGTGACCACTCTGTTGCTTCCCAGGGCCTCGTGTCCAGTCGGCACCGTCTCATCATGTGTCAGCTGGCCGTCCAGAACTCCGACTGGATCAGGTAGGCTGGGCCCGAGGATGCCCTGTGCTCACTGGGGGTGGCGAGGAGAAAGAAGAATCCCGGTGTACTTTTATTCCCTCAAGACTGGGCCCATGAAGGGGAACTATTAGCCCTGTGCAAGCAGTGATTATGTAGACTCCAAGGGGTGGCTCAATGGATGACTTTATTTTTTAACCCAGCTATGGGGTTCAGGAAACTAAAGAGGAAGCTTTTAAGGGTTTTGTTTGCTTTACCACCTCTAGGTCCTGGTATGATTCCTAGAGCTTCTAAAGCATCACTGGGTTTTGGAGGAGGCATGGCCAGAAAGTCCAAAATGCCTTTGTTTCTCCTCCCACTAACTTCATTAACTCTCACTTCCTGTGAGCAAATGTTCCCTGGCCTGCGCAATGGCGCGTTCACAGACTCAGGCTCTCTCGACAGAGGTGCAGGACCTGCTCGGACACTGCCCTCTACGGTGTCCACATCAAGTCACACCCAGAGAGTGCCTTTCTACTCACACTTTTCCCAGTCAGACGTGCCACTAAAATGGCAGTGCCTGTCCCCCCTCAGCTGCCTGGCTGGCAGTGTAATTAAAGCAAGCTGCCACTAATTGTGCTAATTATGCTCCCCCAAGTTCCTACTGTTATAATTTGCACGAGAAGATTATTTTTTAACAAAAATAATGGCACAACCATTTGTGCTATAATTTCTCCCTGTGGAAAAATAAGCAGCATCCAGAGGTTGCCATGAAAGGACGGAAGTGAGGGGCAGGGGAGAAGGCGTTAGCAGGGAGGGCAGGCAGGAGGAGATGAGAGCAGTGGAGGGAAGCAGCAACAATAATTAAACAGCGATCCTTGCCCCTGGTGTGCAGTGACTTGTGTGAGAAGCACATGCCCTCTGCAGACTTTCTCACCCCCTCCAGACACAGGTAAGCAGAGTGATAGCTACTTTTTCTCACATGAGACGCAGACCCAGAGTGGTCCAGGTACTCACAGGACAATGCAGCCGTGATCATGTCAGGATGAGAAATGAGGCCTCTCCTGACCTCCTGGAGAAAATGGGATCTGGTGGAGAAAACATTGGGCAAGCGACTTTTCTTGTTTGGATGTGCTTAGAGGATTCTGGAATAATTCCCTCATTCCTTCAGTAAATATTTACTGAGTGCCGGCTGCTTGCCTGACGCTGTTCCAGGCGCTTGGAAAATCAGGACTGAGATCGCTGGGGAGTCCAAGAGCAAATGGAGAGAGGGGAGCTGCTGCCTATGTGTGGCACCTATGTGCAGCAAGGCAGGGGGAACCTGGCTCAGGCCAAGCTGACTCCTTTAGCTTTTTCGATTAGTGAGATCTCATCTATGGAAGCCTGAGGAGTACAGAGAGCAAGGGGATAGTGGACAGGGAATGCTTAACTTCTTTCTAAGCAAATGTTTGAGAAATAACGCAATTTAATAGCTCGTGAAGTTGACAAGTAAGTGTGTGTCATTCTGGGGCTGGATCCCTCCTTACTTCACAAGCGAATGTCCCGAAGTGGTGGCCAGCCTGTGAGTCTGTGCCATCTAGCCTGACTGGCACCCCTCGCCTCCACTCTTCCAGGGTACCCCAATGACATGGGGAGGCAGGCTGGGCAGATGCCCCAGGGTCTGCAGCCTGGCAAGGGAAATCTCAGTCTCCTCTTGCTGAGGGCTTAGCTCATTTAATTCTTATCACCGTCCTATAGGGTCCACAGGAAAATCCCCTTTTGTAAGTAAGACTAAGAGCAGGACCCTCTACTAAGCACTATGTGTCTAAAACTTATGAGGTCCTTCTAACAAATTGTAGGATAATTACTATCATTATTCTCATTTTACAGACAGAGAAAGTAAGGCACTGAAAGATCACCTAACTTTCCCAAAGCCTCACATTTGGAAAGTGCTAAGGCTGGAATTAAACCCAGGTAGATTGGCATCAGCGTCTTTTCTCATAAGCCTATGGCATACTCCTCTTATTTTACAGAGGAGGAAACAGGATCAGGAAAGTGCTTCCCGCACCGAATTTATCTGTCTTGAGATTTAAGCACATAATGCGATCAGGTCCACCAAGCTCCCTGAGCAGTGAACATTGGAAGGAAACAGTACCGAACCAGTGGGAATGGAAACCAAGGGAAACTTCTCTCCCATGATACTAGGGTGGACCCGTGGGAGTGCTACCAGGACACCTGGCAGACGACCTGCAGTGTGTTGGAACACCACCGGGACCTCATGAAGGTGAGCCAGGACATAGCTGAAAGGTGGGTGGACCACCAGGGTGCAAGAAGGGGGCTGTACCCTGCCAGGCAGGCCAAGAGGACTGGGGACCTACAGACCTGGTTTCAGCTTCCTACTTCCCTGCCACCCATGAGAAAATCCAGCCTGGTCATTGCACAGAGGAAAGCAGTGAATTAGGAACCTGAAGCAGCACTGGGGATTGCCTCCTGCCTTCTATGCTCTCTTGGCCTCCCATCTGGCTATCATATGATATTGCTGCTGCTGCATATGACTGGGGCAGGTTTTGATAGCTGGAAGCAAGTTCAAACTGGGATTAAGGAGATCACAGTTGTAGAATTTAAGATAGTAAGGAGAGGAGGAGGCTGGACAAAGGAAGGCAGGAGAAAAGAAGTTGGAGTTGGTACAAGCAGCCAGTCCCACTGCCCCATCTGTTAGGGCCTTGTGGGTCCCTCTCTCCCTCTCTGCAGGATAAGTTGACTGTAGCTAGGGCACTGCACACCTGCTGGGCACTGAATCCTCATCCTGCCTTCCTCCTCCGCAAGAGCTTCAAGGGCAGGTAGCTTCTTATCTGTTTTCTTAGGGGGTAAAAGGGAGCACAGAGAGGAGCCTGTGTGCCTGAGGACATGCAATGGACTTTAGTGAACAGGATGGATGAGAACCCCTGCATTCCAGACTGGGGCCTGGGGACTGTGTTTGGGGCTGCAGAGGCCCAAGGGCTGGCTGCTACGTAGAAGGATTGAATCCAGTCAGCAGCACCAGCCCCAGTGTGTGGAGAGCACCCTTTCCACATCAGTACCAAACCATCCACTCCCACAGTGGCAGGATGAAAAGCAGCACTGTCAATACCAAGAAATCCACTGAAGAAGACAACAAAGAGTAAACTGTTCACCTCCCCTGACACGGATGTAAAACCAGATAACAGCATGGCACGGTTCTGATCTGGAGAGAACCTCCAGCCATCTCTGTTCCTGCTGTTGGAAGGCCTCCATCTTCTTGGAGAGCAGCTCCTCACCACACAGCTCTGCCAACCACACAGCTGAGCTTTATTTTACTAGACCTGGAGCTGTAGGGCTCCAGACCATGTTAGGAAGCCAGGAGCAAGAAAGCTAGAAACAACAGGCTGGCCCTTGCTCGACTTATTAAGGGACCCTCCCTTCCCCCCATGAATTGGACAGAACTGATCTGCTTTCCTCTGCCTTCAGAGGCTTCACATACATCCTGACTTTTTGCTGGTTCTCTTGGAAGACTTCTGACATGGGGTCACTCTAATTTGCTTCTCTGTGCTGGTTTTAACAACAGAGTAATAAAAGATACCTCATCTTACTATATCCGAATGTATCAGTGAAGAAAGGTTGAGATATGCTGTGCTGACAAACATCCCTAAAAATCTCAGTGACTTCATGTTAGTTTATTAGTCAGCCTGTGGTGGAGCTAGCGGTGCTCCTTCTAGTCACACAGGAGCCTCGGGCTCCATGAGGGCGGGAAGAAATGAGGGATCCCTGCAAGCATCCCTGAATTATGGCTAAAAAACCAGCCTGGCTACTGTTCTGTTGTCCGAGTTTCTGATCTTCCATGAATAGTCCCTCTGTTGTTCCTGTTCAGTAAGAGTCTGAGCCAAGGAAGCCCAGCCAGGAGACCCAGCTGTTGCAGGATGGGCAGAGGCTGGCTGACAATATGGGTCACAGAAGGCCCCCGTTCTTGGAGTAAGAGCCCAGAGCTGCTTCCTAATAACCTCAGCCTTGCCTGGCGTGGCCTGAGGCCTGTGCTCCTGGCACAGAAAGTAGACCTGCCAGAGAGAGAAGCACTCAGGGCTACGTTTGGAAAGGCCTCCAAGAATGAGGGACAGTGGAGGACTGGCAAGGGCAAGGGTGGTATACGCAGCCAGTCACGTTCTTCTCTGAGCTAGAACAAGTCAAATGGGACTTGTCCAGCAAGAGGAAGGAAATCCTCAGCCTCTAGATCAGTTATTAAATGAAAATGTGAAATTTTCTCGTCTGGTGGTAAAATACTGATAATAAAAAAGAGGTGGACCACCCTTTCCACTCCTCAGGGCAGCGAAACTCATAAAGCAGGCTAAGATCCTCTCTGGATCCCACATGTGCCTAACATCTGCTGCTGTGCCTCCCTTCTATCGGGAACATTCTGAATGTGACGGGCTATGCCGCGAGACAAATGGCTGCCTATCTAGGGCTCAGGAGGACTGGTGTCCTGTTTGCCTACTGGATGGCCTGTGGAAGAGAGAGCTAGAAAGTCACCTCAGCCTACTGAGGCATCTACTGGTGTCAGGGCTCTGACCCAGACAGGGCAGTGGGCAGTGTACTATCACTTCCGAGAAGGGACCTGAACGAGCTCTGGCCCTTGTGAAGCCAAACAGATTGAAAATTGGCCCTTTGTTTCTTGGTCACCCAATAACTGGCTTCCCACTCACCTCGGACAAGGGAGGGTTACTTCTCGGCTGGCTGGGAAGAACACTTCCTTATCAGCTCTACATTTGCTGTGGCACTGGAGAAAGCATCAGGCCTGATAACGCAGGATAATGGGTAATACACAGTGCATTTCCGCTTGGCTCTGGAATGTGTATTCACACCACTGAGCGGGCCAGAGAGGCCTCAGAACCCACCCACCCATTTCCTGCAACACAAACACATCCTGCTCGGCCTGGCACGGCTTTCTCTCTGGCCCTGTTATTGACATCTCTAGCCTGAAGAGGCCACAGGTGGTGCTCATGCCTTGGGTTTGGATGACCTTTCCCAAGCTTGCAAAGCCCTTTCAGACATGATCTCATTCTAGCCCCATGAAGCAGGCAGAGAAGGCAGATAGTTATGCTATGCGGAAGGTTACACCCACTGCTGCTGCTTACAAAGTTTCTGCCATCTGCCAAGCACTCCAAAGACATCATGCATATGCTTGCTTGCCTAATCCTATCCCTGTCCAAAGGCGGGTAAATAGTTAGACTTGATTTGAGGTTCAGGAGAGTTTAAATTACTGTCCAAGTTCACGTAGCTAGAAAAAGGCAGAACCTGAATTTGGAATCAGATCTGCACAGTGCCATATCCCATGCTGTTCCACTGAACTACCCTGTTTCCTGCCAGCTTACTGACCTCGTGATACAGCTGGGCCTGGAACCCAGCCTCAGGGCTCCCTCAGATTCAGGTACTTGACCATGATGGACAAGCAGGTATCCCTATGGAGAAAAGTGGGCAAAGCTTTCCAAAGTCACTCGGCTATTGACACTGATTCGGTACCTCTCCCTCTCCCTAGAGGGTGACTGGCTGCATCCTCTCCAATGTGAACACGCCTTCTATGACGCCTGTGATCGGACAGCCACAGAACGAGACCCCCCAGCCCATTTACCAGAACAGCAATGTGTCCACCAAGCCCACTGCAGGTAGGGGCCGATCTGTGCAGCTGATTCTCACTCTTCCCACTCAGTCAGTGGGCTTGTCAAACTGCCGATTGTAGATTCTAATTCAGTCATTTGAGAGGGAGAAGAGGATCTGTATTTTTAATAAGGCAAACCTGACACTGCTGGCTCAGGAACCGTACTTTCAGAATGGATAATGTAGAGCACTGATGGAATCAGGGTAGGGGATGAAACAGTGGTGTGCGTTCTTTATGTGCATTTAAATAGAAATATAATTGCATTAACTGGGAATGAAATAAATAAAAGGGAGCATTTTTCTCTGCCTCTTCCAGGAAAGTTGAGGGTCTTGCAGAAGATCACACAGTAAAGAAATAGGAATCACACCCAGGTGGTCTGCATCCAGAATCTCCCCATTTTTACTCACCTCGTTAGAGACAAGGATTAGGGGCCACCACAC